CTTATTGTTGACGGGGTTCGTAACTAGGAAAACGTCTTCACACTGCTTGTTGGGTGTGCTCGGAAGAAATTACTGAATGGTGAAAGTTCGTCCCAAATACATACAGAGGCATACAAACCGGTCACTCAGAGCACTCCAATGGTCACTCCAGTGGACATTTTACGTTCGTTAGTATTATGCGGGTCTGAGAGAGAATTGGTATTGCAATACGTAGTTGCTAGTTGAATCCCACTAACGCTTGACGACCTCGCTAGTTTTAGCGTTTATCATCATGACCTCGGAACTCCACGGATGGACGTGGTAACTAAACGGCGTTAGAGCGGGCTTCATGGATGCAGTTACTCGGCTCACGGCTCACGGAGAGTAATCCGCACACTCAATGATTGTAATTTACTTCAGCAGGATCTCGACAGCCTCTCGACATGGTCTGCAGAGGTTAACCTTCCGATCAACCCTACTAAGTCGCAATTCATGAGGTTGGGTAAGTGTGAGAACAGCCGAACGTACACAGTGGCTGGTCAACCGCTGCATCCCGTGTCTTTCGTGCGCGACCTCGGTGTGCTCTCACGCTGCGACCTAAAGTCCATTGACAACACGAATAGGCTGTACCAAAATAGCCTTCGGATGCCTTGGGCGCTCAGGCGCAGCTTCAGCACTTGGTCCGAAGAGATTGCCACTCGCCTCTTCGTCCCATCACGCTGGGCGAGGTAGAAAAGCTTGAGCGGGTGCAGCATGCAGCCATTAGGCTGATTCTTAACTTACGTGGTGTGCCATATGAAGACCGATGTAAGAAACTAGGGCTGTACACCCTAGCATATCGTCGGCTGAGGGTTGACCTCATCATGACGCACCGGATATTACATCTGAATGATTACCCCATGTTGAGACAACGGCTTCATCCGCGCACACCAAGCAGCACGCGAGGACACCGGTACAAACTTATCGTACGGCAGTTGAAGCGGTTCGCTCACCAACTATGTTTCGAACGTAGAATGGTGAATACCTGGAACAACCTGCCGCAGCCGGTAATAGAGGCGAATTCAGTGGCCGAATTTAAAAAGCTTCTAGACAAACACTTTGCAGAGGCAAAATATAAAGAGCGGAACGATAATTAATACGTTAATGTCCAAGAGCGACAATTGATGCAGTTACACAGAGTATGCTCTACTCGCTGCTTCTAATCAGTATCAGTTCTATGGTATTTGAGAAGGGATGTGGTTCGGGAACTACATGCTTTGCTGATAGTCGTACTTCAACTAACGGATATGCTTGTAATGCTCCTTTTGACGGCCTTATGAGAATATTAAAAAGTATACCCACCGTGCGCCAATAGTAAGATGGCCTCTGTCACATCATAAAATATACCTCTACTGGAACTAGTCTACGGGAAACGGAATGCAAGGGCTTGTGTGGAAGTATGAAGCTATTCAACATGCTGATTGCGACCCAATTTCCATTCGCGTAACAAACCGATTCACACTCGTAACCATCTTTCGGTGTACAAACTACCTTGGGTGATTTGAGCTCGGAACTGTTGCTGCTCACGGCAATTACTGCACCCTACTTCTCATTCATCCTCATCATTTTACACGTTAGCTAGAAGTGTAAAGCACCCCAGGTACTGTGTCGCAATACACAAAAGAAAATAAGTGCAACAGTTGCGTGCCCGCTGAGCTACCAGCAACGGATAGGCATCGTTTCGGGAAGCTACCAGCCGGCTACTAGGCAACAGAAAATTATTATGTAAAATTATATTATGCTACGAACTGGGATCGTGGTTGGAGGGGAGGCTAAAATGGATGGGGAGGGACAAAGAAACTCACAGCAGGAACGTAACTGAGACCGACTCCTAATCATGTCAGCAAGTGCATCCAGCCAAACGTGTTCATCGTCTTTTGGACCCCAACCAGGGAGCCGTGACGCTCCAACCGAGGCCAGCTTCGAAGTTAGAGCCTTCAATTCTGTCGGCCAAGTCATCGCTTGGTCACCTCTTTTCTTCTTCCATCCACACTCCCGGCGAACAAATAACGCACGTCACAGGAACCGGTGTACTAGCGTACGTAATACGTGACCGAGCCATCGGAGCCTTGTGCGTGCAATAACGGTGCTGAGCGGTTTATTTCATTTTCCTGTGCGATAAACAAGGCGTCGAACACGCTCGTTGCTCACACGGTGTTCCCGTCAGATATGACTCGAACTGCGAAGGCACCGATGGTCGAACGTAACTAGCCTCTTTATGTCCACTGATTTAAGGGGGCAGGTTTCACAACCGTACAGGTAGGCTCGGACGTACCGTTGCATTGTACACTCGACCATTAAGGTTAAAGTGATGTCGCACCAGCGCCATGGGTGGCGAAGGCTAGCAAAAGCGCCTCGAGCTTTTGCTATACGGTTCGTGATCTCATCTTTAATCCCACGGGCCCTGATACAACTTCCAAGGTGATTGAATTTCTGAACGACTTCTAGCTGATCCCCACCGAGGGTCAGCGCAGTAGGTGATCCCTTCTAATCTTTGAGGAAGGGTTAGCACTTAGAGGGTACGAAGCAAAGCCCGAAGCGGCTGACAGCCAGTGCTAATCTGTCCAGTGCAGCTTGGCACGTCTGGGAGCTGTTACAGATGAGGGCAATATCGTCAGCATACTCCAAGTCAAGAACTCGTTCTCCTAGGAGGAGCTCCACATTTTCTATGTCGTTTCCTGCGAATGCAAGCGTTATGAGTTCATCAGTAGTGAAGTTGAAGAAAAAAGGTGACAGCGGGCATTCTTGTCTCACACCGTCGGAGATACTGAAGGTTGGCGACAGCTTGTTGTTAGCCCTTACTCTGCCCGTGCTACGCGCGTATAGTGCGCGGATAATATTTACATATTTTTCGGGCACACCTTTCCTGAGTAAACAGTCTTGAAGGATACATCGATCAACCGAATTGAAGGCATCTTTGAAATCGAGGAACACGACTACGGTGGGCCGCGGATATGTGTGACGATTCTCCAACAGCTGACACAAAGTGAAGATGTGTTCCATACAGCCACGACCGCGACGAAACCTGGCTTGTTCCTCAAGAATCTGGTTTTCACGAGCGGCAGTCAGTCTGCAATCCGGTAAACCTGTGATGCAGTCTGATATCAAGAATATTGGTTAAAAAAGAACTGCTGACGCGCTCGTGTTAGGGCGAACTTCTTTTTCCTTCTGATTCGTAAGCACTGCGCGTAAATACCACTCGGATTTTTTCCCCACATCGAGACGCTTCGGATTTTGTTGACTGATGTGGTGAGCTATTAGGCCCAGTTCGATTTAGTTCGTCTTCTCTCCTCGGTGCACGGGGTGCAGTGTGTTCATTTGCGGTGGCTCTTGTAGTCACATGCGAACAAAAGCAACGATGGCAGATAATAGAACATCTCATGTACTGGCCACAAACCCATGGATGTAGAGGTAAAATGGTGGTTTTGTTGAGTGTGTGGTCACCACCAAAAGACCTTATGCTTATGTCTCACTGACCGTGCGAATGCACCGTGCTGTATTATGTTTCAAAAAACGCCTTATATTCGGACCCGAGGCCCCTGAATCATATCTGACGGTCCCCGCACCCTCGCCACCTCATCGGCTGGTTGTCCCGAGAGAAGGCGCTCTTGTAGATGTGAGCAGACAAGTTTACGCGGAACATACTAAGAGCATTGGTGGAATTTCAATCAGACAAAAGGGTTTAATGCTGCACCAGGAGGTTTCTTGCCAAACACCAACTGACTAATGTGGAGAGTTTCGGATCTGCTCTTTCCCAACACTGCAGCTGCGAAACTCTCCACTTCGGATGCGGTCCCCGGGGATCGAAATCTCATAGGTTCGCATCAAAGCAAACGGTAGCTTCAATCGAGATTGCATGTCGCAATCCAGACACCGAGCAAGTACTCCAAGACCCAATAGCCAACTGACCGACCAAGCGTCGAAATGTAATCCAGCGCGTGATAATGACACTTTTGTTATACCGACTGTTACGACAGCCGAGATACTACATTGATAACGTGGGTCGCACTGTTATCAAATACTTCCTTTGATCATCCGTCTATTGTAAAGCTGTCTGACACCATTCACTGCTTGATGCCCCAGTCGAAACAGGGGAACGACAAGAGAAGTCAAGGCTTAATCGACTGATGTGTAATAAGTACCAAAACATGTTTATAAGTCAAACGCTCGCCCTCCTAGCGATGTCTGCGTTTCACTACTCTGTGCCTTGTTGTTGATTTGTCCGATTGTCTCTCGCCTTTGTGTGATTGGCTGTCCCTCGTACCATATTTGGTTGTCGTTGTTTCAATCTGACAAATTGTCATTCGGTGCCGTAATTGGTAACCTGCTCGCATGACCAGATGTAGTCGCATCACAACTGTTGTCTGCGACGAACTGATTTTGCCCGCAAGCGCATTTATCAACACCGTGTGTCCATGTCCGTTGGGTGTACACACCGAACACCCTCACCGATTTTGTTGTGCTTTGTTCTATTTATCATTTTGCCTCCTTTATGGGGCTTCACCACATGTGGTTTGGACACCTCCTCCTTTCCTTCATATTCGCAAACTCATTCCAATGAACGGTGTAGCCTAACAGCCATTCATTTAGCGTTTGTGCTTCACTTTGTACAAGCCAGCCGTAACCGAAATCCTCATTAATTGCATTATTATCATTCTGCTCCAGATGCAAGCGTGGACGTCTTCCGCAAATAGGTCTATCCGCAAATTCTATGACATTTGTAATGACCCGACCAACTTTTCTTATAGTTAATCCTTAGTCTGTTATTCTGTTCTTTTATCTCATCCCCGACCCTATTACGATGGTTAAACTCACGAAACTCAATACTAGTTGATTTTTGTTTGAAACGACTAGTTGTTAAAGTTTCTCTTGTTACCACCTATCGCCATGCTTTCTGTTCGTAAAGATTACCCAAAATTTGTGCTCGACATTTCGCGTGTCTCACTTTCGATCACAACTTTCCAATTGGTCTATTTTCTCAGACCCACCTCGTTACTTTTGGACTACATTGCCGCCTTCTCAACGATGTGTTCACATTTGGAAAGTATCCCAACTCCCGAGACGACCCAAGAATTGTTTTTACCTGTTCGCACTCTACTAACATCTGCATTTCCACAACATTTGTTATTGCGGAAATAAACCTGCTATCGGTCTACATCGGATACTTTTCATTTCCTCATTTGTTCTCATTGTTGACCCCCACCCCCCACCCCACTCCCGCATGTCTTTCGCTCTTGTCCGTTCTCCCAACACCGATCGCATGCTCCGATGGCTTGTGATTCGCATGTCTACTGATGGGTCGTCTAGCATCATATACAATCTCCACGCCGTTGTTTTTCTTCTGTTGGCTTGACCGAGACTATAAGATTAAGATTGAAATCCTGCATTATTTCAGTACGGACTTTGAATTGAACTATACCAGTCGAATCGGTGCAACCCCTCACGCGACATGTATGTCGAATTTCTACTAAACACTTCGTTTGTCCTCGCTCTTGTATCCCCTCTTTGCCTGTTGCCTCCTTGTTTTTATGCAAAGTGAGAGTTCTAGTTGATCTTTCTCTTTCAGACCAATCGACCTAGTCGCTCCTACTATGCTACACCTGGTTCTCTCGCGAATTTGGCGGGTTCTGACCGTTCACAGTCTCCCAATGATCAGGGCAACAGTTTGAGAAGACTGCACACTTTCAACGAGCCGATCATTCTCAACAATGGGTCCAACGCAGCAGTAGTAGCACCCATGGAAAGCCGTTTATCTTGGCGAAGTCACAGTCAACCGCCTTTCACAGATGCAGATCGGTCTTTACCAACGGGAAATGTGTCTCCAGCTTTTCTCAACACGGAGTCCACGCAACAGATACCGGTTACGACGACTACCGAAACGACCACATGCGGGCATCGTTCGAATGATCGTAGCTCGTTTTGTTCCACAATCACTGTTTCGTCCGGTGCCCAAAGCCGTCTGCGTAGCATTCACAGTGCACCTCGTTCTTCCTCCATCCGACCAAGGTTGTCCGCCTCGCGCCGCGCAGCACGTTCGTTTCGTTCCATACAGTGCGGCGAGAGTAACATGAGCAGTAGTAGCAGTAGTAATAACAGCCTAGTGGGGCGATACCGGACCATTAGCGGTGCCCTTCCAAATGATACAGCCTCTGAATTGTGCGCTTCTGACACTCGCTTATCCGCACTACTTCGTTCCGCATCACTTCGTTTGGACAACGAATCTATTGAGTCACCTACCGCTCCACATGCTCTCGTTGATGGATCAAGTGACCTGGACGAATTCCCGGCCCTACCAGTTCGCTCGCGTACCGACCAAGCCGCCATTTCTGCTTGTCTATCCTCCAACTCAGGACTACCACACTTACATTTTCGTCCTCGTCCTGTGTCTGATGGAGCTGTGGCTGGCCTCCTGGTTGCTAATTGTTCCGCTTCACCTTCCTCGATCTGCAACACAGCTGATGTTGTTTCCAATGTTGCGCCACCATCAACTCCACTCAATGAGACATCATTATCGCAAATCGGTTGCGAACGCCTTGATTCATCTGCGGAGACGGACAGCATCACTATCACACCTTCTGGGGCTACGGATGTCACCACACTTTCTACTGTTCGTTTTCCCACGCGTCATCTGAGAGAGCAAACAGCTGGTGATGGGGGCACGACCTCCAGTACCAATACGGTGAGTCTGTGCTACGGAGTTTGGGACAAGATTAAATCTGCTATATAGCCCGTCTTATCCTCCACTGCTATACAAGTTACGAATGTTGCAAAGGACAGGATTGGCCCCGAAAGACACGACATCCACTGACGGAACCGATGTACGACATAGCATTTAGGAACTATTAGGGCGGATATCTTTTGACGTACTCATGAGTAGGGGATTTCGATATAATTAATTGAGGTTCTTCGGGGCCAACCCTGTCCTCTCCAAGGTTTGTAACTTGCATGGCAGTGGAGGATAAGACGCACTATATCGCAGTTACCTTGTAAATCATGACGGTCCGAAGCTATACCCCGTGGTCCAGTGGCATAAGCTGCTGACTGACGGTTCAAGACGCTGGTTGTCATGGCTTCTGATCCTGATACATCCGATGGATGTGCACTACTAATGATGCCCAACAGGTTGATACTGCAGTCTAGTGCTTTTCCGGGCATGTGAACAACTATCTGATTTGGAAGCTGGCTGTGATGAACCTCAATTATCTATATCAAGATCCCCTACTCATGAGTACATCAAGAGTAAATGTGTTTGCATTGTTGCACGATTCATCTGCTTACACGATTTACTGTTACCTTTATGCCGGAGAAGTGTCGCTGTGCTCTATAATCTCTTCCGCGACTCCCTAGGGTCTACGGTAAACTCGCCCTGAGTTCACGACTAGCATTGCCCTATCGCTTCGTAATGATCGTGAATAGCTCTTCCCTGTTCTATTCGACTTCTTAGGTGGAGATGTTCTGTTAGGTACCAAAGCATCAAACTTGAAGCACACAGACGACTCAGTTGCCACGCGAGCGCTATCGAGTGAAATATCGCACACGCTTCACACCTTCAATGTGTAAGGCACTGGTACAGAAGAGAACCGACATATCATCTGCTTTCAGATTCATGTAGCCAACATTCGCAAGGATTGACATGTTTGCTTATTTTGGTAGCTGTATCACTGGTGGGTACATCACCGCGGAGATTACGCCCTCTGTTAGCTATGTACTTAGTGGCTAGTGGAAAGGTTTATGATGCTGTGGCCCAACCACTGTTACTCTTCGGACCAGAAACCTGACGGATAAGCGCTGAGGGAATTAGCATAATGGCTAATTCTGACCACCGATGCCTACGCTGTGTCACTCATATCAGGTGAGAATTGAATGGGTAACACCGCTGTTCGGTGTACAGTGTTCAGCAACAGGCCCTCTGATGCCTGTTGAGCTCGAAAAGTCTCCCGCTGGTCCGGTTATGTGCTCCGCGGTGTGTGTTGTTCTCCGAAATCACGCTTAATTGGCTGAAATTCCATGGAGTGCGGATGAAACATTTCGAGGAACTACACCACACGGAATCAGGTCCCCAGAACACGCTTCGCTTGAACGTTCTGCAATAACCACTTATTCTACTCTCAACTTCTACCTCGTTCTACCATATTTATTGATCCTGCACCCTGAAAATTTGTTTCACAACGGCTTTGGAAAACTTGAACAGATATGTGTCCTTTGCAATCCTATTGTATCAAATGATCCGACTGCCCAGTTGAACTGTGTCTCGCACAGTCGAGAAACATACCACTTATAATATTAAAAACTGATCTGGGTTGGCGATTGTCGGTTTCTTGGGTTGCGCACCCGAGATCACATACTTCAGTGGCTAAATACTCTTTCAACTGTGGCACAGTCATGACATCAGGGGTCCTATTGCATTTGTCCGCTCAGTTCCGGTCCGTAACTGCTCTATCTGGTGATTTTACTTTTGTCCACTTCGCCTATTCTAACTAGGTGTATGTTTGGAGACACTGAAAAAGTCCAGGTATAATTTCACTCTTCTGACTCCCCGACCCCCTACTTGTTAATATCTGCATCTAAACATATTCACCTATTTATTATGCGGGCGCATGGGGCGCAATATTTTGGATGCAGCCTTTAATGATATCCTGTTCTCGCTAAGTTTCGAAACACACTTTGTTCCTATTATTATTACCATTATTATCATTTTGTTGGTGTCGTGAGTCAAAGTGGCTAGATTCATCTCATCTCAGAGCACTGATTTTAGTATCTAAACCAAATCAAACTGACCATTCCTGAAAGCATTGAACGGTCGTACGGCACCTTTCTGGGCGTGTGATGGTTGTCCGACAGTCTAAATGTGATAAACCTCTACTTAAACTAAACTGGTGGCCTTGTTTGGTTCTTTTGCAAACTGCTAGCTTTTCTCAATGTGAGACGATGAGGACCCATCTATTTGCTGATCCGCTTTCTGTCATTTATCCGCTTAGGCGTCTTTGTTGTCCAGTTAGCAGCGATGCACAATTTCCAGGCCGCTTACGAGATGCGCGCACTAAACTTCTTTTAGGTCCATATTGTGTTCCGCTCCACTTTGTTTGATCTTACATTGAAAAGAAAGTGATCCGATTCTGTGTGTTTGCCCAATCAGCACTTGACTCAATTTTGTTATTCAGTACAAAACAACCTGCGGCTGCTGATCCCGGGTCATTTTTATATCCTGTTTTGTGTTTTTAGTCTTTTCCTTGTCATTGGAACCTCACGTCGTCGGTCTTCATTTTTAAGCATAGACCGAGTGTCAGCTTGTGAACCCGTCGTTAGCTCAGATCGTAGATGCGTTATTAAATTAGCGAAAGCCTCAGTCTATACGATACACAGCCCCTCTTGTCTAGCACCACCTTATCTACAGCTATTCTGAAACGAACTGTCAAGCGAACTATATGCTCGTTCAAATCTCTATGGAGCGAAATGTCCGGGATATCGCACCTCGATGAGGTTACGCGCATGTCGCTTTTGGCTCGTTCCATGTTTTCTATGTTTATTTGCTTGAATGTTTACTAGGCAAAACGACATGTTTCCTTCTTGTTTACCTTGAGTCGTGTGTCAAATTTTATACATGAAGGTTTATGGGCCACCGTTTCGCGAGGTTGATTTTTGATCTCGAATTACTTACCTTAGTTCAGTACAGTATAGTTAACTATGGTCAGAAAGCCGAAGTGCCGTGGATCCAATTTCCATACTAGTGCCGTCAGGATAGCAATAAGCAACTATTGTGGTGAAGTGAGATAGAGCCCGAATAAATAAATGAATAAATAAATAAATAATTTATTCTCGTCATTGAGAGGCACACCATCAAGGGCATGATCATTGTAATACAGACAAATGTGTTCGGCAATTGCACAACTTATTACATTTTGACCATTTTCAGAAGAATATATGTGTGTTCACATGTAGAGGTCTGTTTTAGTGTGTATTTGGAAGTAGCCATGTTGTGTGAGTATGTAAATGTGACTGTTTTTTGCTTGCTGGGTTCGCCTTCAGAAGGGGAAATCAAAGGAATGCTTCAAATTGGATGACGTTCGTGATGTGTGAATGATCCTCCGGAAAAGGGAAGAGGCAGTGACTTTATTTAGTGGCGAGTCACATCCGCCACGTCACAGTGTTGTTAAACGGATACATGTGATTTTTTATAGGGAGAACGGTTGCCAGGCGAAATCCTACCACATCCTGGAACACTGCCGCCGAACCATTTGTTGGAACGAGATTGACCCAAACCACCCAGCTGACACCATGAGGAGGTTGTTCCGCGGACCAGCCTAGGTTAATTGTTTTTTTTCCTCAGTACTAGCTGCGTATCTGGATTCCGACACAATAGTTGAGGCCAACGTTAGCTTTAAAGTCCACCTCTACCATTCTGACCAATGGGACCATATCCGAAATGCAGGGTTTCAATGTTACTCTCTCCCATCAATGTACTCCTTGATCGACGGTTTCGTTCATATTTGAACTCATCGGATAGAGGTAGCCTGATCTGGGAGTAGAACTCGGCCCACTGTGGTTAAAGCCATCGCCCTGAGCTCCGTGAACAGCACTTAACAAAGCGGTTGGCAGTTGAATATTGTCTTTTGGAGCACCCGCCGTGTCTTGGATTGCGACGGGCAATCTAAATTGTGGACTCGCTTGACTTTGAAGTCAGTCTCTGGCAGTCCGATCACCGGGGACCGTATCCGAAGTGAAGGGTTTCGGTGTTGCTCTTTCCCACTACTCACGACCAGTTTCGTCCTCGTTTGGATTCATTAGGCTAAGGTTGCAGTGGAGCTCGACACGTAGTGGTTGATGGCCATTGAACTCGGCAAGGCTACTTGTGAGTAGGGGATTTCCAACGTAGGTTAAACAGAGTTTACTACAGTCTCTCGCCAAGACAGTCTCACACACCCTAAAGGACGATTATCAGTGGTTTTGCTTTATTTCGACTCATCCGGATGTCCCATTCCCCGAATGCAACGGTGCCACTGACACCATGACGTTAGGTAGCCTCAATGGATGAATGCTGAGACACGGCTTTACGATGCGGCCATGCGGATGACTGACGAAGTCGGTTCGTCGTCGAAAGCACGAGTTGGCGAAATCACTCCGTCAGCGGCGACGTAAGTTTGGCTGCGATCGACTGGGCTTGCGGACAGCTAACTACAGGAGACCGTGAGTGTGTGTGCGGACATAACTAAATAGTTGATCGCTACTCGGACGTGTTTGAGGAACCTATGAATATAACCTTTTCTCTGTTACCAATATACTCCGGTCTAGCGAGTCTTGTCATCCTTTTTCTTCCGGTTGGGTCCTGCGTGGCACCAGGCAGAGAGCAGAGGCAGGCTAGCGTTATAACACATGTCCGATGTGATCTCCAGTTACTGATCTGGTCCACACTGATGCTCCCATTCACGAAGGGGAAATGTACTAACCTATCTGCGTATCTACACCACTTTCTTCCTGCCATCTCACGGTTTCGCCTAACCAACTACAGTGACCTCATACAATGTATGCATGTATAAGCAGCAGCATACTGAATTCACATAGAGCCAAACAAAACCTTGGAAATCACTAGAAAAATACAGCTTTAATCAACGCATCATCATCATCATGGCACACTAGTTGAAGATGAGCAACACACTTCAGTTAGTGGCGCGATCAAAGAAT